CGAACTGCCTTACCCCAGTGCCCAGAAGAAGTTCATTGAAGACTTACGACTGGCGTCCCAGACCGCCGACTTCCTGTGGGGCAACATACTCGTTCAACTGCCCAGGAGCAAGCGTCGGAATTATGTGCCAGGTCAGGATGTCCTGGTGCTCGGAGAAGCCTCAATCCCGAACAACGTGGCTGATCTTCTGAGGCTCGGTCCAAAGTATTGTGAGCACCCTGAGCTGGACAAGACAGAGTTGCTCAGCTTGGTGAGAACAGCTGCTGGTAAAGCAAGCATGGATGAATCCGACAGGTGCGTCAGAGAAGGCGTGGACTGCCTACCTCAGCGGGTAAAAAAAGGCAACAGTGCCAGGCTTCGCACTATGGTTACCTCTCTTCGAGAAGCAGGGCTGAAGCTTCTCCTCTCCGACAAGGAAGGGGGATTCGTCGTGTTGCCTCGAAGTCTCTACAAAGAAAAAGCAGCCGCGGCCATTCTTGAGAACTTCAACGAAGTAAAAGGAGTGGTTCCGGCGAAGGTAAAGACAAGGGCCGTCCAGCTGTGCGAAAAAGCCGGACTTGCAAAACTGGCTAAGTCTGTAAAAGCCTGCAAAGAGACCTGCCTATCAGCTTTCTTCAGTGCCAAGACCCATAAGGAATTGTGCCCGTTCCGGACTATAGTTTCTGAGCGAGGAACCTGGCAACGTGAGGTGGGAGTGTTTCTGCAAAGGTTCTTGGGCCTTCTCGACGTCGACGACCCCTACCTCATAAGGGCGCCAGGTACTGTTTCTACCTTTCTCCAGGATGAGTGTCCAGAAGGTGTGCGCGCTTTTTCCATAGACATTAAGGACTTATATTATTCGCTCCCTCAGGAAGAAGTGTGTACTGAAGTAGGCTATTGCATAGACAGATTCGGGGTTCTTAAGTTCCAAAACGCCTGTGGAATCACTGTCCATCGGTTTTTAGCACTTTTAAAGTTTTATATGCAATCGACCTTCATCTGCCTGGATGATAAGCTTTTTATACAACGTAAAGGAGTGTGCATAGGGTCTTGCATTGCCCCCATTCTGAGTGACCTTTTATTGGCTAGCTTTGACCGCAATCTAGAGAGCAAGCTAGATCAGACGAGCACGGTAAAAGTGATGCGCTACGTGGATGATTTTTTAATTTTTTACCGCACTAACCCACCTGACGCGCAGCCTGCTGCTTCTAAAATAATTGACGTGTTCCGCGCAGAATTAAGTTCTTTTGAATTGAAGACTGAGCATCCTTCAAATAACAAACTACGCTTTTTAGACTTAGAACTGTCGTTCTCAAACAGCCACGTGTGTTGGGGTTACGCACCCAGGTCAAAAAAGGCCCTTCTTCCCTTTTCTTCGGCGCACTCAAAAATTGTTAAACGTGGCATTGCAAGAGCTTGCATGAAGGCGGCGCTCTACAGGTCCTGTGACCACCAAGTTGAAAAGTGTTTCTTTTCGCAAGTTGACCGCCTGAAGCTTGCAGGTTTTCCTGCAACGCTTTTGACTAGTATTGCTGAAAGCCTAGTAGCAGTCTGTAAGGACAAGCGCCTGGCCACTGTGCAGTCTGAAAATAGCCGGCTAAAAAGCGTAGCAGTTATCCCCTATGTGCACAAGGTAGCGCACAATTTAAAAAAAGTTGTCGCCAGGGCAGGCATTAAGCTGCTATTTTCTGCCCAAAATAAGCTAGGCAGCTTATGCCAGCATGTTAATCGTGAGGCACCGTACAAAAAAGGATGTACTAAGAAGCACAGGCACAAGTTTGTGAAATGTCGTCATGGCGTGGTCTACAAGATTCCTCTTTCCTGTGGTCGGTGTTATATAGGGCAAACGGGCCGTTGTGCTAATGACCGCTTGCGCGAGCATTCAAACAAAGTTCATAATCGCGCTACAGATAGTCAGCTTTCCCTTCACTGTAACAACTGCGGTTGCCACCCATCTTTTAAAGATACCATTTTCTTATCATACTACCACGATGAACGTGCACGTCTCATTTCGGAAGCTTTTCACATTCATAACAGTGGTGAGGCATGTGTTAGCCTCCCTTCCATTTCCCTCCTTCCGAAGGAAATCAATTTTCTGTCAAACTAATTTTTTGGAATGCCTCTGCGCAGGCTCACATGCCGCTGCGTAGGCTGTTTTTTGCGATAGTGCTGTGGTATATATGTATGCTGACTGAAGAAATAAACATATTTGGTTGCTAGTCAGCGCCCTGTCCTGTTGTCCTTTCTTTTCTTGTCCCGTCTTTTTAGCGCTGTTTTTTAACTTCTGTGAACATGAACCAACCAGCCCAAATGCGTACGCCTCTAAAAATTTAAGGAATGATGCTCGTCGGATTTCATTATTTTTAACCCCGAGAGAACTCCTCTAATCTTCCCACTTGTTTTTGCTCTTAAACGAAATAAATTTAGTTTTACTAACATTCAGTTGTAGTTGGTTCGAAACTAGCTAGTAAGAGGGTGAGACAAGGCTTTCATTCGCTTTCTTCTCAAGATCTTTTAGACAGCTGCCAGAGAACTACAAACTTGTATCATCTGTATACATAACTATAGAAGAAGCCACTGGCACATGAACGACGTCATTTATATAAATTGTAACAAGCGTGTTCTTCGAAATAAAAAAAATAGAGGTCCCAGTATAGAACCCTAAGGCCCACCTAGTGTTACTGGTTTTAACTGTGAAATATACCTGTGAACATATGTAGATTGTAACCTGTCTGTTAAATAGCTACGTACTAACTCTCGAGCAATACATTGAATACCATAATACGGTAATTTTTTAAACAGAATATTATGGTTAGCCGAATCGAATGCCTTTCGAAAGCCTAAAAATATTCCCATTGTGAATTGCTTGCTGTCTATATTTTCAACGATTTCTTCTTTGTAGCCAAGTAATGCCATTTTTGTAGATTTCCTTGCTCGAAAGCCTAATTGCTCCCTGACAAGTGGTTCATGATCATCGAGAAACATGGTTATCCTTGTTTTTATAACGTTTTCTAACACTTTCGAGAATAAGGGTAACACCGATATTGACCGGTAATTATTAAAATCATTGATAAGACCTCCTTTATGTAGGATTGTTACCCTCACAGTTTTCATAGCAGCTGGGAAAGGGCCTGTTACTAGCGCTTTGTTGCAAATATGTTGTAAAGGTGCCGCAAGTAAATTTGCAACAAAAGGTATTGGAATGGCTTTGATTTCATCGTTAGCAGCCGCAGTGTGTTTTTTTAGCCCCATAAGAAAAGAATATATCTCCAATTCACTACTTGGCGATAGAACTAGGGAATTCATATAATAGGAAGTTATGCATTTTTTTAACTTTTAATTGCTTGGCGGAAGACGAATATGTACCAGAAGTTAACAAGTATGAATGGAATTTATTTGACAAAGCCCATTTACTGTATGAGACATCATCAGTCACCAACGTGCTTGGAATATCACAATGAACAAGGGCACGTTGGTGAGAACAATGAATCGTGACCTGCCGACTTGAGGGAAATGCGTTAGAAACTTTGTTGCTCCCTGGTGCCCCATAATCACCCCTGACGAAGATCGAGTTTTAGGCTTTACCAAAGCAGGATTATAGCTCTCCGGTCACTGACTTTGTGTTTTCTTCTTTTTTTTAGTCCAACCAACTTGACTGTGCGGTCGCTCTTTGTCCTGCGGATGAGTCCAGCTCTTTTTGTCGTGAAACGCTGCCCCATTAATTTCTCACAAGGTGACATGTTTTGTGTGTACGACCTCTGGAGACTGCAAAAAAAAACGTGTTCTCCCCATCCAGATTTAGCGGCAGCCCGTCTTTGACACAGTTGCAATTTCCTGCTAGACACAGATGTTGATCGTTCAGAAAAAGAAAAAAGAAAACGAAAAAGCATACACAATACGTTCAGCAAAGCGACACCTGTGGTACCAACAAGGGTCCTACGAACGAACGGTTGGCGGGAGCATGCCCTACAGCTAAGCACACACGAAGAGAAACAGTAGCTTGAACTGCTAGGACCAGTTAAAAAAAAATCAAGACCCCTGACACCTTGCATATGCAGGACAGTCACGGCGCAGCGCAGGGTAGGGCTTGCAGTGAGCACTGCCTCCGTCTAGTACTTGGTACTTGAAGGTGTAGAAGTGGCGATGCTCGACTCGTAGTGTGCGCTCATAAGCACTCTGGGATCGCCAGCGATGCCTTCGTGTGTCCTGAGTTGAGGAGGCAAGGCACAGGTGTGAAGGAGGATAAGATGTGATGTCCGTAGCGGCCTCGGTACGCAGCGTCTCTATAAATTTGTGTGGCAATTGGTTTGAAGATGCTCTAGCCTAAATGCTGACATAACTTTAAAAAACCGTTTCAGGGTCCCTTTAGGTATACACACATGTGCGTGAAATAAAAGAAAGAGAGAGAAATATAGGGATGGTAAGTGTAATGAAACCAATTTTGTTCCCGCCCCACATAAAAATAAAAACTCTCGGTCTATGCGCTGCGCCGTGGGGTTTGTGTGTATCTGGGATGACTGCGTAACTCACTGCTTTCATGCAACAGCTGCACAATAGCATGCATTTAAAAAAAACGCCTCCAATATTCCAATAAACAACGGTATTTCTCTGCCGGCTAGTCCCTCATCATCTCAATGATGTTCCCTGTCTGTCTGTGTGTCTCAATCCAATATGAAAAAAAAATACGACGTCCGGCCGCAGCACATACGCCTAGCTTTGCAATTTACCAGCTGTCTGCGCAGATATAAAAATTGGCTGACATTGCTTCTCTTTCCACAGAATCACTGAGTCGCCGGTAGTTCGTAACGTCGTAGCTCTGAACATCTGCATACTCACAGAGCCAGGAATCCAGAGCCATATATTTTTCAGGACGCCAGTCACCTATCTAAAGTTAACATAAACAGAAACCCACAAGAGTTCTAGCAAGTGCTGATTGTTCACTTCAATGTGTAGTCCCTACCTATAGGAAAGTTCTGACGACGACGCTACTTGATTTACACCAATACTTAGAGGGAGTAGCCATGAATGACGACGCGACCTTCATCAGCAGCCTCGCTACGAGGGAGTTTGCCAAAGAAATCATCGGCAATAACGCCAAGGTGAGCATCCTATCAATATCTCTGGTGTAATCAAGAAGTTCATCCTCGTTGGAGCAACCGGTTGGTTGCATCTTACCATAGTGTAGACTCGTGATGTTTTTCTGAATGAGGGCCTTTAATGCTACAGAAGGCTGAAAATTGTGCTTATATTACAGTGCGATGTATCGGCGAGGTATACACAGCAGCATATGTTTGTAAAAAGGTGTTATAATAACCTTGTAGTAGAGTTACAAGTGTACTCACAAAACATCGAAGTCGGATGCACTTCGCCTTGATGCGCTTTGCCTTGATGCACTTCGCCTTGATGCTGATGTTTCGCCTTGATCTGACGGCACAGCGATCCAGTGAAGAGAAGTTGTATTGGCTCGTTACACAAGGTACGTCCTCGCGCGGCACAGGTGGTGCTTATGTACGCCAGCACAGATTGCGTCTGCAAAAAGCCTCTGGCATTTTCAACTTTGTGGGCTTCTAAGCGAGTCACGGCCCTGGCAGCGTTAACGTGAATGTACAAATCGGATTATTTTGTGGCTGGTTCACGAGTTTATACATGTGGGTATACAGCGGAATGCAGTGAATATAGTGGCATGGCCCTTTGTGCAACTCAGCCACTCGCACGCTAACCTAAGCATCCCCCCTCCCTCCCCTACACCAATCACACACACCTTCACACATATTCACACGTATTCAGGAAGACTGTAGCTACGTTGCGGCCATAAAATTTCCTTTTCTTTCACTTTCCTTTACGTCACGTACACATACACACGATTTGCGCGGATTCCTGCTACGAGAACAGTATGTCCATGCTGGTAATACGTCCCCAATTGTGTACAGCTTGAAAGACAGATGGCAGGTCGAGAGCTCAAAGGTACTCGTGGTGGTCATTTTATGTACCAACATTAGTGTGGCGTCTGCCTATAAATTTGTTTTTGCTCAGCACTACACTCCATGATAGGAGAGCGCATCGGCAACATGGCGTCCAGACTCGACACTTTTCTGTAAATAATAAAAAACGCATTTTCAGCATGGTTTTAAGAGATATACGATACGCATGCTCTGAGAGATGGCGGGAGCGCGGCGTGTTTATCCGGTCATCTGAATCACACGGCAAAATCGTGCGCCCATCCCAACCACACTGAAAAGTCGCAGAGGATCGAAATGGCTGCCGCGCTGCTGACGCAGCTTGCGTGTGACGGGAAGAATAGTTTTGCGCATTCATATAACTTCGTGCTCATTGGAAAATGCCTTGTCAAGATGTACGACAGGCAAAGTCAATGTTCGGCCGTAAACATTGTCAAGGGGTCGTGACGTAGACGAAACAAGCAAACTCTAGTTGAAAGATCAAACTGTTTAGTAGGCCGAACTTGTGGTCAGTAAGTTGATAATCAGATTACAGTGACGTATGTGCACTGGCACTGTAGCGTCGAACAGAGCATCAGCCATCGGACAACTGACAAGCGGTGAAGCGCGTCGGCACTTATGCACGTGCCGTCGAATATTCTAGCGTTATCGCTAGCTGCCACGTAGGTTGCAGGACAATGTTGAATGTTCGCTAAGTGGGCGTAATTTGAACGAAACAGTCTACTACAGTTCTGAAGTTTTTCGAACACTGCAGGTGCGATTTGCGCTGAAAATTACTGACTGTGAACGGGGCGGTAGCACATCTTAGGACGGAATGTGGCATCGCTCTCCTCTGAATAAGGCATATCTTCTCGATGCTTTTACAAAAGACAAATGTACAATAATAAGGTAAGAAAATAAACAATAAGTACAAGGAATAAGTTACAATAACATCGCAACCCCTCCGAAAAACTACAGCCACGAAGTGAATGGTGATCAGTGGGGCGAAGCGTTCGTCCGTCTGTTCGTTCGTTCATTCGTTCGTCTGTCTGTCGGTCTGTTTTTTTGTATGTGCGTCTGCCTGTCTGCCTGGCTATCTGTACATCTGTTCGTCAGTCCGCCTGTGGGTCCGTGCGTCCATTCGTTCATCTGTCTGTCTGTCTGTCTGTCTGTCTGTCTGTCTGTCTGTCTGTCTGTCCGTCCGTCCGTCCGTCCGTCCGTCCGTCCGTCCGTCCGTCCATCCATCCATCCATCCATCCATCCATCCATCCATCCATCCCTCAGTGCTCTGTGCATGCGTCCGTTCGTGCTTCTGTCCATGCTTCCGTCCATCCATGCGTCCGCCCGTCCATTCGTGCGTCTGTCTGTTTGTGTGTCTGTCTGTTGATCTATTTGCCTGATACTGCCGGTTACGCCTAACCCATGACAAGTTTAGTCAAAGAGAAGCTCTTTCGGTTTATTAACGGCCATGAAACGGCTTGAGGCGCATGGCATGGACTACATCAGGTCGTGCACGGCACCATTGAGAGTTCGTGATGCCATAAAGGCATCACGAACTCATACCATACCTTGTAGTCTTGTAAGCTGAGAAGCCGAATTACTGTGTACGGTCTGAAGTACCATGGCACACGTTTTTCACTCAGTCCACATCGGCGTATCGGCATCTACACCGAAACACGGTCCCCGGGCTGGTAATCTGTGAAGTGTCGTCGAAGATTGTGACGGCGGCTGTCGATCGTATGTAGGTTCCCTTCATCAGCGACAATAGGCAGCGTTGCGTGTAGCGTTATGTCCGGGTTTATTCCTCAGACCGATTTGTACGGCGTCAGCTGCGTCATCTCCTGTGCGGCTGTGTTGTACGCGAAGGTCACGTACGGAAGAATGGTGTCTCACGTCTTCTGTTCAAGGTCGACGTACATGGCCAGCATGTTGGCGATGGTCTTGTTCAGACCATCAGTGAGGCCATTCGTTTGGGTGTGGTAGGCGGTGGGGTGGCGGTGGCCTGTCTGGCTATGTCTCCAGATCACCTGAGTAAAATCCGTAGTAAAGGCCGTACCTCTGTCGGTGATAAGACCTTCTGGGACGCCATGACGAACCACTATCTTCGCAATGAATAAATTGGCTACTTCTTTGGCACTACCTTTTGAGTGGGCCCTTTGTTTGGGTGTAGCAGGTGAGGTAGTAAGTAGTTACGATGATTCGTTTGTTCCCGAAATTGGACGTCGGAAACAGCCCCAGCAGGTCAGCGAGGTGGTTCGATCGGTTGAAAAAACCCTGTATTATGGCCTTGTAGGTAGTGTGTTGCGTCGCTGACAGTCTCGGAAGGTTTTTACGTAGTGGGTCACGTCTGTAGTGGGGCGGGGCCAGTAGTACTTTTCCTGTATACTCACGAGCGTACGGAAAACTCCAAGATATCCAGCCATCGGGTCATTATGCAGAGCCTTCAGAACGTCTGGACGTAACGCCGAAGGTAGCTGGTCCGGTGTGGCGAGAATTTTTTTCTTAACGAGGATACTCTGCGCAAAAAAACAATGCCACTGCTTACTTGAATACATTTGGAAGGACGGAAGTTTTGCCCTCGAGGTATTAACAGGATCCTTGAATTCAGCGTCAGCTGTCGGTTCTTCGGCAAAGTCATCGACTCCTAAGGCTCTTAAAAAGTGGTCTCTGCTCTCGTCGTCCCCTGTGGTGGCTTAACGGGGCACGTGACAGGCAGTCGGCGTCAGAGTGCTTCAGTCCGGAGTAATAAACGATGATAACGCCAAGTTCTTGAAGTCTTAGACTCCAGTGCGCGGTGACCTGAAGGGTCCTTCAAGCTTGCTAGCCAGCACAAGGCTTTTTGGTCACTCAAAACATTGGGCAGCCTTCCGTAAAGGTAGAGGGGATACTTTGACGTAGCCCAGAATACAACAAGGACTCTTTTTTAGTCATGTTATGCTAGCCGCGGCTATCGAAGGCAATCTGCCTTTTATAGCGACCGGCTAGCATAACTGATATCTTTTTTGTCTCCATTAGTTTTGTGTACAGGAACGGCACCGAGAACTACACTGGTTGCGTCGGCGTCGATTTCCGTATTGGCGTATTCGTCGAAATGCGCAAGCATCGGAAAAAGTCTACAGGCGTCCTTTCAGTTTCTAAAACGCTTCAATTTGCGCCGTTTCCCACTTCAAATCGACATTGGTCTTCGTGAGCACCATTAGCGGCTTGGCGGTGTGTGAAAAATGCTTGGCGAAATGTCTGTAATAGGCGTACAAGCTGAGAGATCGGCGCACGGCTTTGTTGTCGGAAGGTGACTAGGTGGTGATGGCAGCTGTTTTCTGTAGATCTGGCCGCACTCCTGTCTTGCTGATCACGTGACCCGAAAATAGGGGTCCTTGTAGGGGAAGCAAGTTTCTCTGGCTTTAGGGTCTGACAGAAGCTACTGATTGCTTGAAGTACAGATTGAAGGTGCTGAAGATGTTCGTGTAGAAGCTTGAGGAAAACGCAACGACGTCGCCCAAGTAAAGGAGGCAAGTCTGCCACTTCAATTGAGCTAGGACTGCACTCATGACTCGTTGGAAAGTCGCAGGTGCCGAGCAAAGGCCAAAGGGTGCATGGCCCTAAAGTCGAACAAGCCATGCAGTCTTATGACGACAGTCTTTTCTCGGCGACTCTTGTTAACTTTGGTTAATAGGAGCCTTAACTCTCCGTCGCCTTGTCCGCTCATCTACCAGCTCTGCGCAGAAGTGGTTCCGAGCTGAGAAACACACGCTAACAAACGGCTGGTGACCTTGACAGTCCGTGACCTCGGCGCACTATGCAACAGTGTCAGCAGCGGTGCGACTCGTAAAAGTGGGTGGCAGCTGCGGGATCCGCCGGCGTCAGCGAACATCGATGTGGTGAGTGCCTGATGTTTTACTCTCAGTTCACCGGACTGCTCTAGCACAGGTTATGGTAGTTTAGAGAATGCTGTGTGAACCATTGGAATAAGCTTTGATCGTTTCAAGCCAAGTCAGAGCGCTTTGAAACGAATGTTAACGCAGAGGGTGCAAGCACGGCAGTATTAAAAATTGCTTGCGCGTCTTGCTAGTCGAATTATAGTGGGTACGGCAAGTATATTTTTAACAGGGCAAACAGCAAGAGCCTAGTTTAAACGATGGAGAATCTTAAAGTGAAAGAACTCG